AGGGCGGCAAACCCGTGGTGTTGACAGATTACCTGATACAACAACGAAAGATTTACGAGGGCTTTGCCGACCTTTTAGGGATTAGGATTTTGGGAATTTAGGGATTGGGCCTCCGGTAACCTCACTCAAGCGGCGAAACACAACGCTGTGGTTGTTTCACGCTGGTTTTTTGTGAGGCGGGGATATCATTCCGGTCGAGCCGACCTAAGACCCTTGAAGAAGCATGGTTCTTCCACACTTAAAATTATTTCTTTTTTTGACATTCGGTAAGGATTAAACTTTTTAGATTCAATGAAATATTACTAACGGTTTTCTTAAGTTTTAACTAGCCCGTTGCATTGACGTAAATTTTGATACGTGAAAAAGAATTGACATATTAGGCGTATCATGAATTTATAATTCCTAATTATAGTTTGAAATCTTCTCCGTTTGAAGAGAGGCTGTTTGTCATCAGTGCTCACTTATAAGCTGATGATCTGATATGATGTGGGTATCATGGAAGTGTCTCATGTCTCCGAACATCCGGAACACTACGATAAATAAAAATTATGCAAATTGACTCTTTTATATTACTAAAACTTTATAATGTTCATCATTAACGGACACAAGTATCATCCTAAGATGCTTGTGTCTGTTGCCTTCGATGAGCCCTTTTCAATGAATCCAACTACTGAAATCCACATTTGTGGATCTCGTTACTTCTTCTTGCTGACAGCAGCCTCTCGCACGCAGCTTTAGCAGCGTTAACTGGTACGATGTCTCCTCTTTTTGGGAAGTAGTCTTGCTAACAAAAAGAGTGGAGGAGGACGTGAGGTAAATCCACACGCGCAAGGAGATGTATGTCGTTTAAGATGCGCTTTAAAGAGCTATCATACTACAACAGATTCTGATGACCAGAGTCATTATTTAAACTACAGGTAACACATTAAATACGGTTGCATGTTTTTATAAATTACTTGTCTACATTAGTTATCAAAACAATAATGGTACTATTAAATTTGTTTCCATGCAGACAGGCAATTTTAAAGATATATTTTTTTTTTCAAGAGACAATATGTGATGTTCAGTTGTATGCCTAAAATAGATACGACTTATAACATCTTGGCGAATGTTTTTAACGAATAACTTTAACATCGAATTACCGTTGAATACCAAAATAACTGATTTGAAGTTAAGTTTTTGAACAACGGCTTAACGATGAACGAAGTTAAGTATTGAGTTAACTGTGACCACTTAATTAAGTAGTAAGACTGACCTAGTTAAATGTATTTATTTATTTATTGCTATAGGTAGCACCAGCATACATATTATAAACTAAACACTAGTAATAAATAAAACAATGAAAGCCTTAATAAGCTTAATTATTAAAGAGAAGAGGAAAAATTAAATTAGTAATACCATTCAAGTTTGAAATACATTTTAATAACTAAATTTTGTGGTTCATAATATATCTCCTATAGGAACCTTATTTATTTTCAACTTGTCGAATCAGTCATATTTATAGGATGTGAAAACAGTACATTTAAAAGTGAAGTGCGAAATTATAAACTTATTCGAAAATTCATACAAAAGTGTTGAAAACTTCGCAATAGCTTTTCAGATAAGTAACTAGTTCGCGTTAATGTTTTGCTCTTTGTGATTCTGCTGAAGCTGCATATGACTGTGTGTGTGACGGTATGTCGAACTACTTTTCTAAGTTAATTCATGTCTCATGCACAATCCATAAAGTTTTCAGTGCTACCTCGCGAACGACGTTTGTTGAGAATGAAAAATTCTGCATAGGTACGTCGCGTCTCATATAATTAGTGTCGTCTCTACACGTGCAGCATTCGCTATCTTTTCTGTATTATATTGCAATATTTACACTTATAAAAGTTTAAATCTAAATAATAATATAATATAAATTAGTTACGAATTTTAATGCTTAGGGCATTAAAATTCGTAACTAATTAATATATTTGATATTAATTACTAGCTTCAGCCCGCGAGTTTGCCCACGTGGTGTGTTAATCCAGAATATCACCTATCTACATATCATTTCAACCAAATCGGTCGAGCCGTTTTTGCGTGAAAGAATAACAAACATACATCCATACATTCTCACGAAGTTTCACATATATAATATTAGTAGGATTTGTTAGAAGTCACCAGTGAATAAATAATACCCAAGCAAAAAGTTTATCATAATTTGTTAGTCATACTCATCACACAGCAAAAGTGCAACAATACAAGGCTTTTCTAAAGTTTTAGCCAATGAAGTAGTAAGAATAATGCTACGTACTGCAGTCTTTTTGCAAAAATATAGTCTTGTGTTATACAAATTGTATATAGATATGGGGATACTTACTATAGTACATGGATCGCGCTATGTTTTCATGTGGTTACATAGTTTCTCTTCAATTTCATTTACGAAAATGCTTGGTTTAAATTAATTAACAGTATCTTTTCGTTGCGCTTTCGTAACGTTTGGGGTCAATCTTACATCACGAGAATTTATAAACTAATATGATTTTATAGATTTTGTGGATATGAAAGGGGTAAAAATGATTATGCGATGCGTTATGCGTATACCAGCAAAATATATTTTTTATACAATACCGCCCTGGGTTCTTCAAGGGCGTAATTAAATATCTTTAGTGTTTGTGAAGCATTCGTGAATCCTCAAACGTTGCAAGGGCGTTGTTGAATATGTCACATATTCAACAACGCTGTTTACCACCAGATGGCTGTGAAACGATGTTTCGATTGTAAGTAAAAATAAAAAGTACCATAATGAGAAAATTGTTGTTTCATTTTTTATTTAAAACCACATTTTTATAAATTTGGTTACAAGAGGCCGAGAAAGAGACACTTAACTATTTAGTATATTTATAGAAAAAAACGAAAATAACAATAATACAACAAAAGTAGAAAGTCAGTTATATTAAACAAGCAGGTACCTACTTGCATTATACAGAATATGCTTTTTGTTTGAACGGATGCGATAGTGGGTAATGAAATGATGTCTTCCCGATTCAGTTCGCTTATCCGGATTAAGCTGAGCGCCTCTGTAACCTGCTCTGTCGTTTGAATTCTTATTAAGCCCGCCTGTACCGAACTCTATTTTAGCATTTCTTATGGAAAAGATAAGCTAGACCAATTTGCCTTATCTCGGACTCTTGTGTTCTTTAACAAAAGCTCAAGTTACGAGTTCGATTATAATTAATGAACCAGTTTTGTACCTACGCTGGTGCGAGACCTTGTCGGCTCTGAGTTATGTTCACGTAAAATTCGATCGTCTAACTAAGGTCTGGAGTAGGTAAAAGTCGTCTAACATTGCAAATTAAAAGTTGTTATCAAAGTTATAATAAACAAGTTTCCAAGTATCATATAAAAGTGAACTTTAGTATTTGAGGCATCAAATTTTGATAGAGGTTTGCATAAAGAGATAAGCTCGATCAAAGGATTGCTCGCAGAGTGGTTTACCTTGCGAGCATATTTAAGTTTCCATGAAGTGAGGAAATGGAAAATAAATTGGATTTGTATAAGTTTCTTAAAAGCTACACACGCTGGGAAATATTTACTTTGTTCTAGCCTCTAGCTGGGATTATTGCAGTTCATTATAAGACTAACTCAACGGTCTAATGGAAAACCTGCCTGCGCGTTTGTACGCCGCGCTATATTTTTCATGTTGAATCAAAACCAGTTTAGACAACATAAACAGCCAAGTTGAATGTATCGCTTTATGAACCGCCGGGACGTGGAACGTAGTGCTGCGTTTGTGGACGGACAAGCTATAAAAGGATAATTAATAAACTTTAAAATTCAATTCAAAGTAGAACATTTCACCTTTAAAAATTCCCAGTATATTATTAACCTTACCTAATTATTAGGGCAACCCCTCCCCTATTACAAAAGAGAAATATTTGTACACACACACACACACACACACACACACACACACACACACACACACACACACACGAACACACACACATTTCAATTGATCACACTCTACAACTTTGCATTTATTTCATACTTACTTAAATGATAAAAACAACAAACAAACAAATCGCTTCATATTTTCCTATACTCATCTAAAATATTAAATACAAAGGTTCATAATGTTTAACAAGCAGACAGACCCGATACAAAGGGGAAACACATTAACATACAACTTCGTCGAACACCGGTGAGGAGTTGGAAACATTTTCGTCCAAACTTTTCTATATGCGAAACGCTATTGAAAGCTCCTCACGGAGATTAACACGCGCCGTGAAAATACGCTCAAGGATTACCCCCCTCCCCCCACGCCGAGTGTGAAGTTGTCTTGTTATAATGCGCTGCTAACAGCCAGCAGTGAAAAATTAATGCATTCCCCCGCACACCTCCGGGAACGATACACGTGCGGGGAAAAAAACTAACTCGTCTAATTAAACTTTGTTCGAATACTTCTGCGTTCAATATTTTTATAAGTTTCAAATATAACAGTACCATTGTGTTTTGACGTTTTGTAAGTTACTGTCTTTTTCATGATTTGTAAAAAAATACTACAGAAGTATAGATCAATTCTACTTGAAATACTTAAAGGTAAATTGCAAGGTTTTTTTAAACTTCACAGTAAAATTGTTATGGATTGGACAAACCAAATTCATCGTCAAAAGATATATTTCATTAGGGGAACTAGGTACCTACAATAAACAAGAGATTTACACCTCCTTCGATTGTAGTGTTGTGCACTCATTGCCAGATACGTTGTTCTTAACCACGTCAGCAAATAACAAACATGGCAATGAACAGTGGATCATCCCCGCAGCTAACTAGATCTTTGAGCGCAGTTTGGACTTCGGTTTGATCGTGTTTGCACGCTGTTCACTAGTTAGACTACGAATTGCGGATAGCTTCTTTGTGTTTCCGAGTCGCAACTTCGCTAACTAGCTGCCGGTGACTGATTATGAACAAACCGAATTTAGGCTTAAATTATAATTACAAACACACTTTCCTATTTAACACTTTCTTTATTACTTAAATAAATCATAGCATGCAGATCGGTAACCGATGTTGGATATAATCCTGTCAATCAATTCAGCTATGAGCCGAATATGGTTGAGGCCATTAGGCCTACACGTCAACAACAAAGTCTTCAACAAGCGGCTGTGTATTTCCCATTTATTAATCACATGCGGCGCACGCAAGTATGATTTGATAAAACTATTGCCTACATTCCTATGTATTAAATTATCTGCCGGGTTACCAAAACGTGAAAATTTATCAATCTGTGGAGGCTGAACTAGTTCTCGCTGACGTAAGTAGTTGGCTTTGCCCCTACGACCTACTAATTTCATTTCAGGTATCTTTTGTAAAATCTTTTCAAGAATTTTGCTTTGTTTACGGGTTTCGTTTGTCGTGTCTTGTCTGAGGACAGGAATATGCGTTATCTTCTTTTGTATAATGGTATCTATTAAATTTTTTATTTCGGATGTTAAATTATGATTTGTACCAGAATGTTCCGAAGGGGCATGGTTTGCTGTTTCAGTGTTTTCTTCTAAGTTGTTATGCTGCGATCTAGGAACAGGTTTTGGAGGCATTTCTGATGCAAGTTGTGATTCATGTGAAGGTGACACTGGCTTGCTATTATTATTATTAGTTTGTTCATAGTTGTCGTAAGTAATGTGGTCAATTATGATCTCAGGGTATTGGTGTAATAAGTTTAAATGATCATTACGTTGACTATTTATATTGTTGTTGGCCGCGTTATAATCTGACGAGGATTCTTTCTTTACTGAATATTCTAATGAGTTATCCACGTTTCCAGATCTGAGTTCAGCGTTACCTCCGTATCGGTTCCTTGATATAGTTTGTTTTTGATGTTCAATTTCAATGACTTTTCTTACTGTTTTGCTTGTTCGTGGCAAAGATTGTTCTTCTGTACTTGGTTCGGTTTCTTTATCGACTTCAAGGCTACTTATATTTGACTGTTGGGAACTTTCTATTATCTCGCCATTAGATTTGAAATTGATCCGTGGAGCCACAATAGTCTTAAAATAATAAATATTGGAATCATTGCCTGGTGGTATTTCAAGGCTAGAATTGACAGAATCCAGTACTGGGTCTGGTGTGACGAAAGTATCATTTGGTTTAGTTTGTTCAATTAACCTATCCAAAATTTCATTAATGTTTTCCGAGCTCATATCTTGTTCTTGTGATAAAGCCCAGTAAACAGCTGTTATAAAAAATAAGAAGTGATCTGAAATCGAAATGATAAACAAAAATAAGTTTTATTTAGACAAAATGTTAATAAAATTAATTATTAAAATGTTATGGATTTATATTATAGGATTTATTGTAAAGAAGACGGTCACAAAGCTTTATTTGGGTATAAATTATGTTTTCACAGAAAACGACACCCGACAAGTAAATAAGGCAATGGTAAACGAGTATCGGACCTGTGATGAATATACTGTAATTAATATGTACAAGATAACTATAATAAGACCTTACACAGCGTGAGCCCCATGTTAATCGCCATTCTGCCGGACTACCACTGAATTGAATACTGGTTTATTATTGGCTCAATTGTGCTTGATCGCTTATTAATTAACTGTTATCGCATTAATACCTCTTCCGACTTAATTAAGAGGTAATTGATAGCCGTGAAGATTTTCACCTAAATATCACTCAATCTAAACGCGCGTGGAGTATGTACTACTTGAACATTTAATCTTGTACTAAACACAAATTGGTGGTACGTACATATATTAGTGTAGTACCTATTAGTTCCTATATTTTAATTAGCCACTAAACGGTACAACGGTCATTTAATTATTTTTCTAGATTGACAATAAACTACAGGCACAAACTTATGTATGTACTACAGTTAGAAATGTTTCCATAAGAACTTCAATCAAAAAGATTTTCCATGAAAACAGCAAGTTAATGGAAGTTTTAATTTGCACTATAACAATTTACAAGCGATTGAAAACTGAAAAAAGCAATCTTAGTTATCGTTGCCTTGGACGACACCGAGCCGGCTTCGGCATGAAGTAAACAGCCCGGTTCGTCCTGCATTTCAATCGACTCTATTTGTATTTTATTGTGGGAGACTCGAACAGAGGCCAAACGCCACGGACCAAAGCTTTACGTTTTATTGACTTCTTTTATGGGATCCAACCAATAACAGACGGGTTATTAACGGACGACAAAATTAGCATTATAAGTACTAAAGAATTTAGGATGGCACGGCCGAGAAATATGCGGTTCTAGCCATCCCACGCAAGCACTAAATGCCAATACACAGGATGTGATAACTTGTTTGGGTGCGATAAAATAAATAATCCAGAAGATTAGACGCAATGCAGAGATATAGATAGATAGCAATTATTAAAGGTTTTTTTAAAGCTTATCAATTTTTTTATAAAGTTTGTGTAAGAAACTAACTTAGGGAACTTACATTTGTATGCCCAATGACTTTTAAGCACTCGATTAAAATATACTCATATTATATGGTCTACATGAGCAATATGATACATACCTACAACTAACCAAATAGGTGACGTTATCATGAAAATAAGTCAAATCATTCGATCCTTTTGATCGCATTCAGGTACCTAGTTAGTATGATAGAAATCAACATCTTAGAGTCGACATATTAACATTATTTAAAGACGATTGCTTCAATCAAAATTATCTTGAGTGCGAGATATTTTATTAAGACATATTTTTTACGTAATCTACACTTATAAACAATACAAAACAAATAGAACGATTAAAAGAAAAATTCTCAGCTCCGTAGGATGATGGAGGTATAAAAAATTCTATTAGAAATCCATTAACTTTTTCAATTTCAACAGCCGTCTAATTTAATTGCGAGCGTTTCTCGCTGTAAGTTACAATAGCCACCTAATAAGGCTATGTAGAAGGCTATATTCTATACAAACAACTATATTACTTTTGGCTCTACGATCGCGTGTAAGTGAATTGAATTTTTATTGAAGTATGTACTTAGTAAGTACATCAAAGTTGTTTGTCAAAGTATGCACCCTATTACGAGGATCGCTCGCTCAGTTGACAAATTGTCTCGTTATAAGTCATGAACTAATCGAATTTATGAATGGGAATGATGAATAATGGAGCTGCTAAATTAAAGTATTCACAAAATGTCGTCGTCATAGTCTATGGAAATATGTTTTATGGGTATAATATTAGTTTAATTGATATAGATACTGCATGTAAATACATAGATGAATAACACGATTCTTAGCATTAAATCAAGGAGAAAATGTTATGTAAACGGTGGAAGCATGAATACGTAAAGATTTTAAGACGCACACATAATTCTGTAAATTTAGTTTTAGCATATTAACAAAATTATACTGTTAGAGAACTTAAACTACAAAATGGTTTGAATCTATGCAATACACAATAACACAGAAAAGTAATACCAATGTCGCTACATTAAATAAAATGCAGGGAAGTATCCTTGCAAACAATTTTACAGGGTGATTAACAATTGTATCAAAACCTTGTTCACATTGTGCACGTTAGCCGTGGCCACGTGGTCCTATGAATATTTGTCCACAAGCGACTGTTGGAATAATTGAGGTGTACATTTTCACTTTGTTCCGTTTCCATTCGATTAAAATCGTTGTACCACACTTGTACACGACCTATTCGGTGTTTACTAAACGATTTGAACGGTTCGACGGGCCGCCCAACCGGCCGTGATTTTTTCATTTTTTTAGGAATTTGTTAAATTATACTGAATGCAAATAGAATTAAATTAGAAGAACGAAGCGCTATTTTTCACAGAATGCTTTCCATGCAATATTTCTTCGGTAAACATATCTATATAGTTTTAAAGGTTTTTCTAATTTGATGTCGATAATGAAACTGGCGGACGTTACGGCTGTTCGAAGCACACATATTTAAGTCTTAAGTTTTATAAAGGTCGGTTACAGGGTAGTTTCAAATATATTGGCTACTGGGTCTCGCGAGTCGTCAGAGTACATTTTATGAGCATCTAATAAAATTTTTATCGTGTAACAGTAAAGAAGCAATCAGTCTGTTGGATATTGGCCTGCGGGGTCGGTAAACACGTGCATTTTTATGTTCGTTCGCAGTTACCGCCATTCATAGATTCGCATATAGAACCACTTTTGTCGATTACCTACTTAGCTAGAATTTGTCCAAGTCGAATTCTCGTATAAGCCGTTATGTAGCGTATTCTGTGAGACCATGAACCGTATCAAATTGTTTCAAAATTTGTCGATTGTTGAAAGACGACGTGACTAGAGAGTTCATTAATTCGGTTCTGTGAATGGTATCAATCAATCATCAGCTGCCCTTGACCGTTTATATCTTCAACCAAGAAGATTTAATGGTTCAGGTTTATCAGGGAGCATTACTGCGTGGGGCTCCTTGTCTCTGTGAAATGGATAGTCCATTAGTCAACTATTCTATTTGCGAGAAGAGGGGGCGAGGAGACGAATTTGTTAGAATTTGCTATCATAGCAGCAATCCTTCTGAAATCAGCCTCAGTCAAATCTCTTAGAGATAAATTTAAAGAGATCAATATTATGACTGTGCCCGGTCAGTTTATTTATGAAAATATAATGTATGTTAGGAAACACTTAATATTATTTGATAAGGTATCAGACAGACATAATTACCAAACTAGACATAGAGATAGATTGTGTCAGCCATTATTTAGATTGGCAAAGGTACACAAGTCGTTCATGGGATTCAGCGTTAAGTGTTATAACAAAATCCCAGGCGAAATACAACAATTAAATGAAAGAAATTTTAAATTATGTATAAAGAAAACTTTGTGTAAAAAAGCATATTACAAACTGAGTGATTATATTGAGGATAAGGATGCTTGGAGACGGGCTGGTCCTGCTCCACAGGATAATATACCTACACGAATATAAATAATGTTCCAGTGGATCTTTGCTTGAACGGAAGTTCTTAGATTTTGTAAATTTGTAACCATGCTATTTTTATTGTTAAACTTGATAAATTTGTAAATGTGAGTGCCCTGTAACCTATTAAAATTAGTTAGACTAGCAGAATGTCGGTCCATATGTCAGCTTGGAGTTGTCATGCTCACTCAAAGGTCACATTGGCGGTGGCACGGTCACTGGATCGCTCCCTATATTATGGTTGAGTTGGGCGATGCTGGTGTACGTGTCATGCTCGTGAACGGGCGCCGTCAATTGGGACTGGTCAGCTCCGGACTGTCTATTGTCCTTAAGGTTATTTTCTTTTTATGTTTCTCTGTATACACGCGTTACACTGTTCTCACATATTCAAACTAACTAAATAATGTATCAAAGAATGTTTATGTGACACTGATTTTAAAAGAGTAACCATGGAGTTTCTTGCTCGTTCTTCTCCATCGGAATCTACACTTTGGAACGAGCGAATACCTTTACTAAGAGGACTGACCGACAGACTGACACTTTGTATCTTTAAAGTTGTGTTGACGTTCAAAAGTGCCTGTATGGGTCTAATTGAAATAAATAATTTTGACTTTGACTTTGACTCAGTTAATCCATTTCATTGTACTAAAATAATAATACATACCTATTAATAATAAGTGAACCTTGTAATATGGTACGAATTAAAAGGTTCTGTATCTGGGAATTCCTTTGAACAATATGTAAGTACGTATGTTATGCATCCAGGGTTTGCGCTTGGGTGCAAGTGCAGTAACCTACCGCAGCCCCTATCCAGAGGGTGGACGGAACGAGGTGACTTTTAGTCGCCAAGAGAATAGCACTCCCTCACCCCATCCAGGGTGGCAGACAGGCACTGGACGATATGCCTCATCAATACAAAAAAAATGTGTATGCCACAGACACTCATATCAAGAGAATACGGGTGCCGTATGTAACTGTTTAGAGCGATAATCCCATTTCGTTGATCAATTAATTTTATAGATAGATAGATATGCCTAATAAACTGTAAGAGCTATTTAAACACCGTTTAACGGAAATGAGAGACAGTTTAATGACTTGTATGATCGTGTAATCAAAATTTATTATAGATATTATTTTAAAAGTGACTTTTAAAAAGTAATTTTTTTTTGCGTAATCAAATATTTTCATCCGATACTTTACCCACCTACTTACTAGTTAAAGGTTGATTAAAAATCTTTGTTTCTATATTTAGTATCAGAAGGTCACCCGGT